GGGCTTTATGATTGGCTAGTTTATTTATGCACATCACGTGTGTGTGTGTGTAGGACCTGGTGAAGAGTCACCTGATGCTGGCGGTGAGGGAGGAGGTGGAGCTTCTGAGAGAACAAATCAGAGAGCTGCAGGAGAGGAACCGGCAACTGGAGAGAGAGAACCACACGCTGAGGGCGCTGACCCACAGCATGCACACTCAATAACACACACACTAACACACACACACACTAACACACACACACACTAACACACACACACACTAACACACACACACACTAACACACACACACGTGCCGTCATGTCAGGGTTAACAGGACGGCGTTCCGGCTCCTGCGTTTTCTGATCAGCTGATGCTTCAGAGACACTCGCTGTGCCCTCCTGCTCGTCCTCCTTCATGTACCTGTAGTACTGTTGAACTGCAGTATTTGTGGTACTGTGTACTGATGAAAGGTGTGTGTTTCTGTGTGTGTGTGTGTGTGTGTGTGTGTGTGCAAGTACTTACAGCATCTGACAAAAGTGAGCACACCCTGACATTTCTGTAAATGTTGTGTTAGCTCCTTCATGGGACAACGTTGTAGGTAACAAAAGAGAGAAGACCCGAGGTGAAAATGTCCAAACTGTGCCCAAAGGGTCAGTAGTATGTTTGGCCACCATTATTTTCCAACACTGCCTCAACTCTGTTGGTCATGGAGTTCACTGGAGCTCCACAGAGGGCCGCTGAATCCTCTCCCACTCCGCCACGATGACATCATGGAGCTGGTGGATGTTAGACACCTTGCACTCCTCCACCTTCCATTTGAGGGTTTGGAGACATGGTTGGTCTGAGCACTGACAGGCTGACCCTCCACGCCTCCAACCTCTGCACCAATGCTGGCAGCACTCATACCTGTTTTCAAAGACAACCTCTGGATATGACACTGAGCACGTGCACTCAGCTTCTTCTGTCGACCACGGCGAGCTTTGTTCTGACTGGAACCTGTCCTGTTAAACTGCTGGATGGTCTCGACCACCGTGCTGCAGCTCAGTTTCAGAGTGTTGGCGAGTCACGTGACACCAGGGAGGGAAAATGGCTAATCGGGCTCAGTTTGGACATCTTCACCTATGGCTGTACT